TTCCCTCCCTCCCTCCCTCCCATTCTCCTTCCTTCCCTCCCTCCCATTGTCCTTCCTTCCTTCCTTCCTTCCTTCCTTCCTTCCTTCCTCCTTCCTGTTGTTTTCAAAGTTCCTTCTTGCTATTGCCATTCCTTCAAAGCTTCGTAAAGCTGGTTTTGCACGGTGCTTCCGCAAGCAAAGTGGCGCTCTTCTGCTTCTGAGCTAATAGCACAATCGCTTCCATGCACCATCCCATTCTCTGAGATTCTCCTCACCCTTGAGGCCTCCTTTGCATTCCTCCGAGCTTTGGGCTGCAAGGAAGTCGGGTGGGGGAAGAGGACCGCCTTTCTTCAACCATGCTAAATTCATGCTCTGGTATAAATCTGTGGATGCTTTTAGGGGCTCTCCCAGGGAGAGGGATTAAAATCTTGTTCCCCAGCTCCTGTCCCATCACAAACTGTTTGTGTGAATGCTGCAAGCCAGAATGGGTGGGCAGAAGAAGCTCAGGGGAGCCGGTGGACCGGTTGAGAGTTTCTTGGGGAAAATGTTACCTTCGTTTCAGAGACTTGGTGGGACTTGGCAACCTCTAACGAAGCTGGAAGCGTTGAGCCGCTACTGGTTTCAGGTTGCCAAAGATCCCCTTTAGTTCTTTGCACGCGTAACAGGTTTATGTTGCATTGTCAGAGGGATTTGAGTGCTTTAGGTGAGCCAGGATTTAGCCACGACATGCCCGTGCCAACTTTACTGGATGAATATGAACATCTCCCCCTCCATCTTGTTTTGATTTCCACTTCAAGAAGGAAAGGCAAAAAAGGGAAAAGAAAAGAAAAAAACAGCTTTGTGAAGACAGGGACCAGAGTGGGCAGGAACTCCTTGGGTTGTTTTGGGCCTCAGGTTCTGCTAGAGCTAATTTCAGGGCTGGTGCTGGAGGTTCAGGAATGGCTAAGTCACAGGTCGGCAACCTGCGGCTCTGGAACCGCATGCGTCTCTTTGAGCCTTCCCCTGTGGCTCCTAGCCTCCTCTGCCATTTGCAGAGAGAGACAGAGACAGCGAGAGCCCGCCCCTCTCTGTGTGTGTGTGTGTGTGTAAAAAAGAGAGTGGCCTCACCTTGTTCGACCAGCTGACAAGCTTACTGGGCAGGGCTCCTGCCTTGGCTGCGTCTCTGCAGGAAGCAGGAAGGGCAGGAGAGAGCTAGCTAGCCCAGCTATGCTGACTCAGGAATTCTGGGAGTTGAAGTCTATGAGTCATAAAAGAGCCGAGGTTGCCTACCCCTGAGCTTGTTGGAGAACAGCTTGAAGCCAGCTTGCCAGGTGAGCAGAAGATTAGAGAGAGGGGGGGGGGGACAGAAAGAGAGAGAGAAAGAGAGAGAGAGAGGGAGGGAGAAAGAGAGAGAGAGGAAAGAGAAAGAGAGAAAGAAAGAGAGTGGGGGAAGAAGACTGGCAGACCAAGGGCAGAAAGAGAGAGAGGGAGGGAGAGAGACAGAGAGAGAGAGACCCTTTTGACCCTTTTGACATCTAAAATGAAGATAACACTGCATATATATATAACATTTTAGATATCAAAAGGGTTTTGCGGCTCCTAGTGTTTTGTTTTCGGTGGGAAACGGGTCCAAGTGGCTCTTTGAGTGTTTTGGGTTGCCTACCCCTGGGCTAGGTCACGTAAATCTCCATAGTCGGCGTAAGCAGAGCATCCTGCTAATGCAGACCGGCAGGATTTACCCAGGCAGCCCCCCCAGAACAGCCGGCTGGGCCCTGGGACACACGAACATGCACGTCCCTCTTCTTCGCCCTCTTTCACGTCTCTTACACACACGCTTCCAAGCGAATGGCTTCATGGAAAGCCAGAGAGCGGTTCTGCATTGGCCGTTGGGAAACGGGAGAGGCTGGTCAAGGACTGCTCATGCTGGCCAGCTGGTTTTGCAGGATATACTTGGCCTGGTGGCCACCCCGACACGAACTTGGCATGGCACAGCTGCCCGTGCAGATGCCTATCTGCAGTGGGCATGGGCTGGGCATCTCTGGGTTCCCTGCATCCCATCCCTGACTCTGCCTCTTTCTCCCGCAGCCATACCCCTCACTGCTTATGGACCAATGGCGGCAGCGGCGGCGGCGGCCGTGGTACGAGGGACAGGTAACTGCTGCATCTCTTCCCAGAGGTCTCTGGGGACCTTTTCTGCAAGGCTGGGGGAGGGTGGGTGGGGGGGGCAGGGTGCCATTGTAGCATCTCGACTGGCTAGTGTTGCTTCCTCCGGTAGGTTCCACCCCCAGCCGCACTGGCGGCTTCCTGGGCACCACCAGCCCCGGGCCGATGGCTGAGCTTTATGGAGCAGCCAATCAGGATTCAGGAGTCAGCAGTTACATCAGTGCGGCGAGTCCCGCCCCCAGTACCGGCTTCGGCCACAGCCTAGGGGTGAGTGCTGCGGGGGGCTCCACGGGCAGGGAACAGACTGGCGAGCCCAAGGGAAAGGGGCAAGAGGCAGAGAGGAGGAAGGTCCCGGCCAGCTCCCGGTCCTGGGAGAGGGGTCTTTTGTTGGATCAGGAGCAGGTGCTGTGGACCAGGGCTTTTCAACCAGTGGTACGGGTACCACCTGTGGTACATTGGCACCTGGCAGGTGGTACGCGACCATCCTAGAAAAGTGGTAGCGGGGGAGGGGAATGGGCTGAACCGGTGGCAGCACCGCACAAGCCTGAGCGAGAGACGGCTGGAGCTGCAGGGCTGTCAGGGCTCAGCGGAAGCGCCAGGATCAGTGCTTCTTTGGGACTGTCAGGGCTCAGTGGAAGCACCAAGATCAGTGCCAGGCTCCAGCTGGAACTCGGTGCTGATCCTGGTACTTCCGCTGAGCCCAGAAGAAGCGCCGATCAGCTGGAATGTTGCAGCCTCTCCAGGGTCTTGTGATTTACATTCAGATGCTTGGCAATTGATTCATATTTATGATGATCACAGTGTCTCAGGGTCTTGTGAAGTGAACAAAACCTGCTGCAACCACCCAGCAGAGGGGGGGGAATAAAAACCAAACACCCCCCCACCCCACCCCCGCTGCCAATCCTCAACAGAAATGCTCACAACAATGAAAACCTCGGACAGGAGGAAGAGCGCCACCGGGCGGGCAGGCAGGTGTCTTGCTCGGCTGTGGCTTGGGGGGGCACTTTTTTCAGTGCCATTGTAACTTTGAACAGTCACTAAGCGAACTGTTGTAAGTCGAGGACTACCTGTACTTCATCACTTTTTTCCTTTTTTTTTGGGTCATCAAGTTTTTGACACCTTGCTAGGCGACTGGTGGTACTCGGATGTTGCCGTATCCTAAAAGTGGTACAATGGGTGAAAAGGTTGAAAAGCCCTGCTGTGGAGGACACGCAAAGAGTCCCGTGTTGAGGGCATGTGAAGACCTGGCCAATCTTTGTAAGCCGAAGGAAGCCGGGTTTCTTTTGAGCCATTCCAGTTCTCTTGGTTGAGTCTCAACTCCACCTCTTCTGTGCACAAGGAGCCCCTCTCGCATAAGAGTCTCGGGGCTTCACTTGTAAGAAATTGCTGAGCCACACCTGGCCACCTCTGCATGGCCCAAACCAACTGTCAGCGGGAGAGAGGGGGAGCCAAGCCCGCTAGACCAGGGGTCCTCAACCTTGGCAACTTTAAGACTTGTGGACTTCAATTCCCAGAATTCCTCAGCCAGCAAAGCTGGCTGAGGAATTCTGGGAGTTGAAGTCCACAAGTCTTAAAGTTGCCAAGGTTGAGGACCCCTGAGCTAGAGAGTCTCCCATCACAAAATTCTGGCAACTTAAGCTTAACTTTACCTAATGCTGCAAGTCCTTGGTGAATCATTGTAGTGAATAGGACGCCATATTTTTTTTTGCAGGGGCCTTTGATTGCAACGGCATTTACTAACGGTTACCATTGAAGCTGAGGACCAAGAAAACAGATGGTAAGTAGGCTCTCTAGGGCTGGACTGCGGTTGGGAAAAACTCCTGGGCCTGCCCTGGAACACTTGTGTCTCTCCATTGGGAGGTGTCATCTGGGGAGGCAAAACATTGTGTACGCGAAACCCTCTGTCTTTTAAGCTTCAGTCGGAGCTTTCCCAGATGTGGGACATCTGAAAGGTGTCAAATCTGACACATTGCAAGGCTGCTGAATCCTTTTTTAAAAAAAAACAAAATCTTAAGTAGAGTCTGGAAACGCAACTGGATTTTTGGATGGATGGCACTTCTTTAAAAGTTGGGCGGTTATTCAGTTTGTCATATTTTAGGATTCTGCTGCTTTTGTAATGAATTACACGGAGTCCTCTCCAGAAAAACAGCTGGAGAGAAAAGCAAAAACTTGGAACAATGTCAGGTGCTTCTGTGCTGCAGAACCACAGTAGGAAGTTTTTGCTTTTCAAGCCACTTGAAATCCAGATCTAAGCATGATGTCAAGTGTCTGATTAACGAAACACTTAAAAGGACTTTCAGGCATAATTTTTCCTAAAAGCATTTTATTAAGGTTACAGAAACGTCAGTACGGCATGGTGGAAATGCTTAGATCTGAGATTCTTTTCCGTTACACATACATTCTAAGCATTTTTCCCCGCCCCTATTTTGGGGTCATGGTTCACATCTTCCAATTAACTTGGAAGATGTGATTTACTTCCGGTTTCTTTTTCCCGGGCTTTCACTGTTGCCTGATTTAACTATAAAAAAAACCAGACAGTTCTGCATATTGTCAAAGCAAGAATATACAGTATTTGCAGCGTTGACACCACTTGCTGTAGGGGCCGAGCCACGTCTGCTGCTGTTGTGGGGGGAGAGTGGCAGTCTCGTACAGAAGGAGGCCTCCCCCCGTGCTCTCCCATGGTGCAGTCTCCGCCGGAAGACCCCGAAGGGTAATTCTTGAACCATTTACAGGCAGCCCTCATTAACAACCACTTGCAACCGAGCTGAGCGGGTAGTGCGTATAACTGGTCCTCGAAGTGCCAGCCGCAACTGCGATCTGGGCACTTGGCAAACATCCCGGATTTCCAACTGTTGCAGCATCCCACGGTCACACAATTGCAATTTGCAGTTAGCGGTTTCTCACAAACAAAGCCAACGAGGAAGCTGACAGGCACAGTCAGAAGCCATGATCAAGTGAGGTCCTCGCTTAGCTGCCCCGTGGTAGCCAGGAACCCCCAGGATTGCCAACCCTAAGCGACGTGGTCACTTGGCGTTGTGCTTTACGACCACATCCCTTGGTGGTGGAAATTGGGCTCCCAAAGCGAGGACTTCCTGCAGTCTAATTTGGGGGTCCCCAACCCCTGAGCTGCAGCCTACTACCGGGCCTTGAGCCGTTCGGAACCGGCCGTGGAAGTGGTGGGTGAAGGCGTGCACGCTTGCCCACGACTCGCAGGGAACCATCCCTTCTTCCCACCCTCCCCGCTGATCCGCAAAGCCACAAAGGTTGGGGAACTCTGGTCTAATTGCACGCTGGCAAGGAGACCCAGCGTGCTGGGGGAGCCCGTTCGGGGGCACAGCGCAAGGGGGTGGTGCACCCCAGTAGGGCTTGCAGAGGGTTCTGGCAAGGTAAATGCCACCCCCGCTCTCCCCAGGGCTACCAGACTGGAGAAGACGGCCTCCCCCGAGTAAGAGTGGGTCCATACAATGGACAGTGGGATGGGCGGCATATAAATGGGATGATGATGATGATGATAATAATAATAATAATAATAATAATAATAATAATAATAATAATAATAATAATAATAATAATAATAATAATAATAATAATAATAATAATAATAATAATAAAGTTGGAAGGGACCTTGAAGGTCATCTAGTCCAACCCCCTGCTCAGGCAGGAAACCCTATACCATTTTGGACAAATGGCTGTCCAATCTCTTCTTAAAAACTTCCAGTGTTGGAGCATTCACGGCTTCTGGAGGCAGGTAGTTCCACTGGTTAATTGTTCTCACTGTCAGGAAGTTTCTCCTTAGTTCTAGGTTGCTTCTCTCCTTGATTAGTTTCCACCCGTTGCTTCTTGTCCTGCCTTCAGGGGCTTTGGAGAATGGCTTGACTCCCTCTTCTTTGGGGCAGCCCCTGAGATATTGGAACACTGCTATCCTGTCCCCCCTCGTCCTTCTCTTCATTAAACTAGACATACCAAATTCCAGCAGCCGTTCCTTAAATGCTTTAGCCTCCAGTTCCCTGATCATCTTTGTTGCTCTTCTCTGCACTCTTTCTAAGGTGATTAAGTAAAGGGGCAGGTGCGGCAGCCTTTGGGGGGACGGCAAATGGGACGATGGTCACCTGGGCTCCTTTGCTTTCCTCTCTGCTCCCCACAGATTCCCCAGTGAGCACCCCCAGGAGAGCGAGCTGGAGGACTCAGCAGACCCGGAGGGACGAGCCAAGGTTTCATTTTCATTCAAAAACTGCACACTTGTGGCTGTTAGCTGGGCTCCGGCCAGCCCCCCCCCTCCCGCTGGCCAGACCGCACTGGATTGGGAGGCAAGGAGGAGGAGCGCTCCTCCGTCTCCTCTGCTACTAACCACAGACCGTTTACACTTCTCCCAAGCCTCTGACCCACTGCTTCTACTTTTATTTATTTTCTTAGCCTGTTAGTTCTTGTTTTTTTCAATTTTTTATTATTTTGGGGAGGTCGGTGGGGTGGGT